CCCTTCCAACCCAAACCAGTCTGTGGTTCTGGGATTCTCTGAAAGCCCCAGCAGCCCCAGCTGACCTCGGTTTCTGCCACAGGAGCTCGTACCCCAGCCTGGCAGAGGAGCTCTGGGCAGAAAAGTCTGAGCGAGGGCTCACAGCTCAGGAATTCCTTACACAACATCAGAAATAAGCTTCGAGGACAAAGAAGCGAAAAACATTAGCGAAAGCTTAAAGGAAGAAAAGCAGATGAGGAAGAAGAGGAGAACAAGACAAGGGAAGAAAAACAAAGTGCTCCCAGACTTATTTTGGTCAGACTGGTGTCCAGTGACCCATTTCACTGGTGTACAGCACCAAGGAGGAGCTGTTGTACTCGCACATCCCTGATCTGAGCACACAACCGACTCGGCTGCGGCGGATGGACCCTCACGTACCTTGGCTAATTTTTCTCCATCTTCCCTTTTCACCACTCTGTCCTGGGCTGAATCCACCTGCCGACAGTAACAGCAAAGAGCAAATGGGGATGATCTGTCAGGTCAGCAGTAGGTAACCCCCGCCCATGTGCCCATACACCCCCCAGACTCCCCTGCCCGCGGCTCTGTGAGGAGGAAGAGGAGGCTCTGATGAAGCCGTGGGGCTGGGCTCACCTTGTTTCCCAGTAACATGAGGACCACGTCTTGCTGCGCGTATTCATGAATCTCTGTCAGCCAAGCCTGGAGAAAGACAGCCAGAGAGAGGGGTAAGGAGCAGCTCTGGGGAGGGGAGGAAGAGGAGGAGGATGAAGGAGGCTCCCCCAGTGCCGGGAGCCACAGGCAGGGAGCAGCTGGGCCTGGAGATCCCCTGGGATTCAGCAGCACCCTGGGGAGAGGAGCTGCCTCTTTCCCCACGGCTGGATGCCAGCCAGCAGCCAGCGACTCAGCCCTGGGGACACCCTTTCTTTCCCAGAGGGTGGGTGAGTGGGCGCCCCAGGGCGTCACCGAGACCCAGGGGACCCACTTTGGCTGCTGCCCAAGCCCCAGTGCTCCAGGACAGCGGCCACCTTTCAGCCCTGCTGCCCACTCCGTCTGACCACAGGCGCCTGTAGGACTTCAACCCCAACTCCCCCTCGGTTGGGACGTTAAGACTAAAGCTCTTTTTGGGGTGTAAGGCTGAGGGTTTGCTGCAGGACGTGCCCCATCCCCACATCCTGGATGTGCTGTCCCCGTGCTGAGCACACTTGTCCCCACATGTGGCTGAACCTGCCTCCCCAAGCCATGGGGTGGCTTCTCTGCCCTCTAATCCAGCCTAATCTAATCAAACCTGCCCTAATTCCCAGTAATCCCTGACCCCGCAGTGCTAGCACTGCTGCAGCCCGTGCCCCAGCTCCGAGCACCGACACTGGGCTCATGGCAAGCACCGGGTGATCCCCGCTCCACCCAGCAGACACCTCTCCTCCACCCACCCAGCTCCTCAGGATGGAAAATGTCACCACCAGCAAGTCCCAGCTTGTGTGAAGCACTCCTGGGCTGGTGACACAGCAGCAGGGTGGCAGGACGTGCCCTGTCCCCCACTGTGGGGCTGCGGTCACAGGGGGGTGGCAGACATGGGGCTGCCAACAGAAGGATGCTCCAGAGCTCCAGACACCCCCAGCCAGGGGGTCAGGGTGGTGCAGGACCCCCCAGGACTCCCCAGGAGCTGGTGTGGTGGATCACGGCTCCCTGTCCCGGGGGGTTAATGTCACACG